GTGGGGGAATACAGGTTCGATTCCTCTCGGAGAACTCACATTTTCTACAATTTTTTTCGAACATCGAGGCCAGTAAATGTAATTAATAGGGTTTAATTAAAAAAACCGAGCGTTTAATTAAATAATTTGTATCTATAAAAATAACGTATAAACAGAAAATAAATTAAATAATTATCGGACTTATATATAATACAATTCATATTATATATATATATATATATATATATATATATATATATATGGAAAAAATGGAAAAACAAAAATACGATATGCAAATATGCTGTTTTAATATTTCTTTCAATATCGACGTCAGACGTTTCGGTCTAGTAGACCTTCTTCAACATAGTTATTAAAACATAATTAACATTAGACGATATTCAAGCCAACATAAAACTATGTCCTGAAGAAGGTCTACTAGACCGAAACGTCTGACGTCGATATTGAAATAACATTAAAAACAGCATATTTGCATATTGTCATTTTTGTTTTTCCATATATTTTCTTTCATACTGTTATATCTATATCCATATATTTATATATATATATATATATATATATATATATATATATATATATATATATATATATATATATATATATATATATAATATATATATATATATATATATATATATATATATATATATATATATATATATTCATTATAAATATATATATATATATATATATATATAATGAATTGGATTAAGTCCGATAATTATATATATGTGTATGTGTGTGTGTGTGTGTGTGTGTATGTGTGTGTGTGATAACTGGATTTTCCTTACAGAAGAAGGCCATCTCTTCAATTTTGAACTGAGAGCCTATTGGCCGCCTGTTGACTTTTCAAAATCAGCCTCGTTCTTCCATACCTTTTTACATGTATGTGACACACGAAAGACTTGACACTGGAGAGTTTGAAAATGACTTTCTCCTCATACGCACTCATGTACCTCTTTAATTCGGCCGGAGATCAACAAATTTTATATTAAAAAAAAAAAACTGCCATATACCCTGCACGTTCGTCAGGAAGGACTTTCACATAGACAGCAAATGACTGCTGACTTTCATGTGATTTTCGATGACTTGCAAATCCGGCACGAAATTAGAACAACTTTCATGCAGATGTTACATAAAAGCTCAAACTGATTAAACTTCTAGGATCGAGTCCACATCATCTTTCCGAAAAGCCCTTTTCATATCTTCAAATGCTTAACCTTATTGACATCAAAACGATTGCAACCATCAAAAATTAACTTTCTCAAAACCGACCTATTCTCTGCCTCTTTTTTCCAGTTTCAACACAAACTTCATCAGTTTTAAGATCTCATGGTTTCTTTAACAACATCCTTGAATAGTTTCCAGGGTTTGTGATTTTTTCACTTTTTCAATATATAATATATATATATATATATATATATATATATATATATATATATATATATATATATGGCCTGACGATTGCATATAGCATGAAACAGACTGTCGCGTCTGTGTGTTGACTTCTATGTTCACTTTTATATATTTACACGCTCTATCTCTGATATTGAGCACTTTATTCCATAAATATAGCATACCTTAAGACTATATTTCTTTATATATATATATATATATATATATATATATACGCGCTACTTAGTGGAAAGTGTTCAATATCTATGACAGAGCTAGCATCTTCAGTTGGATGGATATTAGGTTGTAACCCTGGATTTCAAGCTTCTGCGATCATCAGACAATTTTTTTCTGATAATCGCAAAAGCATGAAACACAGGTTTACAAACTAATATACATATAACTGAATATATATATATATATATGAAGAAATATAGTCTTAAGGTGTGCTATATTTATGGGATAAAGTGCTCAATATCAGAGATAGAGGCGTGTGTAAATATAAAAGTGAACATAGAGAGTCAGGCACTTAGAACGACAGTCTGTTTCATGCTAGATGCAATCTTCCAGGCCTGACGATTATAGCATAAACAGTCGCTTTATGTTGACTTCTATGTTCACTATATATATATATATATATATATATATATATATATATATATATATATATATATATACACTACAATTAAAATCTGGCAGGCTAACCATTGTAAGTTTTATATATTGCCCCAAAAGGTTATTTGTAATAAGAGAAAATGATTATAGATAGTTAAAAAAAAATGTGAGAAATTGATTTTGCGAAATTTTATCGTGTCGAAAAGAAATAAAGCATTATATGATTCAATTTTGCTCTCGTCAAAATATCCTTCTTTAGCCTTGATTACTGCAGTACAAATCTTTGCGATTCGTAGCAAAAGTTCCTCAAAGTCTGACAACTTATTTCTTTATTATTTTTTTTTCAATGACTCAAAGATCTCTTTCTAATTTTTCTTTTTCATTCTTCTGTCAAGTTCATTTCATAATAATTATGAAGTGGCCTCAAACGTTTAAACTCTTGTGTATATATTACTAATATCCAGCCAAGAGCCACTCAGGGTAGAGGGTTACCGTATTTTATGAGCATAAGAAACGGCAAGAAGTAAGGTTCTTGGGGCTATGCAGGTAAGATAACAACTAACTCTCAACTTGAAGAGGTCAAGATCCAATTAGGGATATCAGATTTATAGTATAAAAGTAGAATTTAGAAACAACTTGAAATCCAGTTCTAAACAGGAAACAAGGGATAAACTTCTACATCTCACCAAAAGACCGGGGAGGAGTGTGAACCGGTTGCACCTTTGTTCTAGAATATAAGATGTAGTCAGGTTTTTATATGTTTTGTGGCTGGTATACTTATATACAACACACCGATCTTTGTGTTCGAGATCAACTGTATATCACAATTTCAAGTGTTGATTCTAGAGATAAGCAGGGTATTCCTTGTGGGGAAGATTTTAAATAACAATTTAATTCTTCTGTATTAATCTCGTGTAATAGTATGATAAGCTTAGTGTATTACACTATTTTCAATCGAAGATCTGCCCATTATATATATATATATATATATATATATATATATATATTATTATTATTATCTTAATTTTTCTTATAGTTTTCTTCTTTTTAAATTTTGTATTTGTTTATTCCACGAACCAGGAAGTTTCAGCAATTGATACCTCCTGAGGAGTGAACTGAACAATACTCCAATGGTTTCTTTTCTCACACTTCCCACCTGTGGGACGCCATTTTTCATTACTTTTTGCCCTGATAATTACAATCATCAAAACTTTAACTGCAACATCAATCGCCATCTTGTGTCTTTTCCTCAATCCTCCCTTTCATCTCTTTCACTTTCACCCCCTACGCAATAGTGGCATTCCCGTCTTGCTTGGGATATATATATATATATATATATATATATATATATATATATGTATGTGTGTGTGTGTGTGTGTGTGTGGTGTGTGTGTGTGTAAAGCCAGCATGTGATGTCAGCGTAACTTTTATAACGAAAATAAATTAATAGCCTTGATTATTGCGTTCATCCAACACTTCAATTCTCTCCCAGATACAGGTTAATTAACAATTAAAGAACTCTCTAGCATTGGATGGTAGCCAGTCTTAAAGAAGGAAAACTCAGGAATCAAATGGTAGTGAACGGAAATCATTCTGATATTTTCCCAATAAGCCATGACAATTCACAGATAATTATATATATATATATATATATATATATATATATATATATATATATATATATATATATATATATATATAAAAAAGAACAATAAATATATAATCCGGTGTTCTTATAGATATTTTTATTTTTACAAAATAGTGCTCAATGTAAATTTACAGAGCATTAATATTATAAATCAATTGATTTAACATTATTTACATTATTCGGACTGTTTGTCCTTATCTTTGTCGCCATATTTATCACAACGTTTCGGCCCGTTGTACGCTCCGGCCTTCTTCAGGTGGTTGGAATTTCGAACTGAACCCTTTATTTCAGGGTAGACTGTTCTAGTTCCACGTGCCATGTTTGATGGATGTCGTTATCAGAAGAAGGCTGGAGCGTACAACGGCCGAAACGTTGTGATAAATATGGCGACAACGATGAGGACAATAGTCCGAATAATGTAAATAATGTACATAATATCTCATCTCAAAAATATAGACAGATTCTAACTGATTTAAAATATGTTTTTTTTCGCTACACAGTTCTAACCATGTTTCAAAAATGGAAGCTGAAAGCGTCGAATTTAATTTCGTACTTAAGTTAAAGACATTAGTTCCATTTCATCTTCAAGCGAATTGTTATGTGTGTCTGTGTGTGTGTGTAGATAGTCTATAGATTATCTATGCTATGAAGAAACATAGAATTGTAAAATAAAAAAGAAAGTATTCCTAATTACGAATGAATATAAAATAAACTCATGAACTTTTTTAAATTATTATTCATATTTAATATATATATATATATATATATATATATATATATATATATATATATCATTTAATATTTTGTGAGAGACTCGTTGAATTTAGACTTATTTTGTTTTTTTTAATATATATCAAGAGAGGGATATTTTTTAATTTAAATTATATCAATTATAAATGGAAGTTCCTTGTAAAAACATGAAATTGTCCATAATTTCTGTAATAATAAAAACTGTTATTCTTAGAAAAATTAAAAGAAAGAAATACAGAAGATTGTGCAGCGCCAACCCATTCCTGAATTAGTAACAGCCGGCGCCGGTGAGAAACACATCTGTCGGAGCCACGAAGCACACCGCTCTTCGATTTTGTCATTCTAAAAGGTTCGTTTAATAATTAAAAATACCAAAATATCAAAAAAACAAATGCATTAATAAATTTAAAGGAAATATATTTTAATAATTTACACACAGACATAAAATGTCTTTTAAAGTTACAAGATAAATGTTCAGCAGTAAATAAGTATTTTTTTTCAAAGATGTATTTTCGCATATATGTGTTGGCAAGTTATAGAACGATCTCTTTGTCGCATTCCCCAAAAATTGGCCTTGTACCACACGAAGCGAAGTTTATTCAAAATAGATAGATAGATAGATAAACAAAGTGAGAGAGGGAATAAAAAAACTAATAGATAGATAGATAGATAGATAGATAGATAGATAGATAGATAGATAGATGAATGAATGATAGATAAACGAAAGTGAGATAAGAATAAAAAAGAAACTAATAGATAGATAGATAGATAGATAGATAGATAGATAGATAGATAGATAGAAGAGGAGATGGGGAATAAAATAAATTAATAGATAGATAGATAGATAGATAGATAGATAGATAGATAAACGAAGTGAGAGAGGGAATAAAAGAAACTAATAGATAGATAGATAGATAGATAGATAGATAGATAGATAGATAGATGGAGAGAGGGAATAAAATAGATAGATAGATAGATAGATAGATAGATAGATAGATAGATAAACGAAGTGAGAGAGGGAATAAAAGAAACTAATAGATAGATAGATGGATAGATAGATAGATAGATAGATAGATGAGAAGAGGGAATAAAATAAATTGATGAATGGATAGATAGATACACGAAGTGAGAGAGGGGAATAAAAGAAACTAATAGATAGATAGATGAATGAATAGATAGATGAATAGATAGATACACGAAGTGAGAGAGGAATAAAAAGAAACTAATAGATAGATAGATAGATAGATAGATAGATAGATGAATAGATAATGAAGAGGAGAGAGGGAATAAAATAGATAGATAGATAGATAGATAGATAGATAGATAGATAGATAAACGAAGTGAGAGAGGGAATAAAAGAAACTAATAGATAGATAGATAGATAGATAGATAGATAGATAGAAAGAAGAGGGAGAAAGGGAATAAAATAAATTAATAGATACATACATAGATAGATAGATAGATAGATAGATAGATAGATAGATACTGCAGGGACTGA